CCACCGGACCCCACTGGCGCGCCAGCCCACCGGACCCCACCCCACCGGACCCCACCCCACCGGACCCCACCGGCGCGCCCAACAGGCCGGCCGGCGAATCCCCCCACCCCTCCGTCGACAAATGCCCCTCCTCCCGTCCACGAGGCCGCCGGGGGCGGGGGCGCAAAGCAGAGACTGTCCCTGGGCGCTGAGTACGCTGGCTACTCCGCAGGCGCAGACCCTGGAGCTCACCCCGGCCGTCGGGGTCGGCGCACCGGGTGCTGGGCCTCCGCCGGCTCCATCCCGCCGTCCCGCCCTGGCAGGGCGCGGGTCATCCGCGACCCTCAGACTGCGGGCAGGAAGCGAACTAACTGGATGGTAATAAGAATGGGTAAACCAAAACCAAACCCGTTGCCCTCGAGTCAACTCAGTCTCATAGCGACCCTATAGGTCAGGGTAGAACTGCCCCACAGCGTTTCCAAGGAGCGCCTGGTGGATTCGAACTGCCCACGTTTTGGTTAGCAACCGAGCGCTTCACCACCACGCCATCAGCGTTTCCGTGGGTAGGGGGCGCGTATTCGGGGGAGGCCAAAGCAAACTGGCGTGGGGATTTTTAAGGAAAAGCTTAAATCACAAATTTCGATTTACGAAACGACAGAAACGTAAAGAGGGAATAAAAAAGCCATCGACTTCTCAGTGTCTGCGTTTGCGTTTATACCCCACAGATGTCTCCATCATGCACTTTCTCCAGAAGAAGGGCAAGTGTTTGTTTTCTGCACCTTTAACTTTGGAGAAATAACTGCGGGAAACCAGTGACTATAAATACTTGTAAATATCTCCACCGAAATGACGACCAGTGTTGCTGGGGCCAGTTTAATCAATGGGTTCGACATTACCAAATAAACCATTCCATCATTATATTGTAAAAAGTATACTATTAAAACTAGACCGATAGAACGTCAACGTTAATCCTGCGGTTAAAATTAGCTTGCGCTAATGGGAAATCAGAAACCACTTGAAGTATCATAGGTTTATGTCACCTCTAAGGAACCGTGAGACCCCTGGTGGCGCCGTGGTTAAGAGCTGGCTGTTAACCAAAAGGTCAGCAGTTGGAATCCCCCAGCCGCTCTCCGGAAATCCTGTGGGGCAGTTCTACGCTGTCCTATAGGGTCTCTATGAGTCAGAATAGACTCCACCGCAATGGATATGGTTTGGGTTTCAACTCTGAAATTGTCAAGAACGTATTCATTTTTCTCCCCTTTTCCACTTTTCTACCAACCAAGTAAATCTTCTCATTGGGCATTTGTCTATTTTTTAGATATGTTTTGAAAGGAAAGTCTTAAATTATATATTAAAGTGAAAGTACGAATCTTAACATGAATAAAACAAAAACCAAACCCACTGCGGACAGTGGATTCTGACTTAGGGCGCCCCCGTGTGTTACAGAGTAGAACTGCTCCATAGGGCTTTCTTGGCTGTAAGCTTTACTGAAGCAGATCACCAGGCCTTTCTTCTGTGTCCCTCTGGGTGGGTCCCAACCAACAACCTTTAGCTTAGTAGTGGAGAACAAAAAGTGTGAGCTAAAATGCTATCCTGACCCATAGACAAAGTTCATATAGAATCTGCAAACCAATGCTAAAGAAAAAATGAAACTCAGCTGCAAATCCTGTAAATTACTGATATTAGAAAATTCAATTCCAATCTCCTGTATCATTTGGGGTTTTTTTTTTTTTTTTTTTTTTTAACCTATAATGTGGACTCAGTATAGTATATCAACAGATTGTTTTCCATCTTCTGCCTGTTTTAGAAAGAACAAAGAGGAGAAAAAGGCTTGCCCGTGATTTGTGGTTTTTTAGATGACAGTCCATCTGTAGATAATACATGAAAAAAATCTACATCCTTTTGGTTATTCATATTTGGACATTTGTAACATGTTAAGGGCGGAGGGAAGCGCCTATTCTGATAAGGCTTATCAACTCCTTCGATTTCCCGTGAAATTCTATTCATGTCGGCGACAGTGCTGTTTTATGCAGTGAGTGATACAATATGGGACATAAACAATTTGAACAAAATACGTAGGTAGTTATCATACATTTAAAGGATGCTGTCGGGTCCTGAAGTTTGTCAGCCGACTTCCTTCCTGAAGAAAACCATGCAAACCATTTTCAATGTCTCCAGATTAAGAATTTCTTTTGTATCCTCTTACCTCTAAAAATAAGGCCGAAACCAATGATACAATCCAAATTCTTGCTTTGGGACCCTTCAGGATAACCTCAGAATACTGTTTTGTTGTAGACAAGAGGTGGTGAATTCAGAAGCCAATATGAAGTGCCTTACTTATTTTTTTAGGGTGTAAACAATCTTTAATAACAAGAAATATTTTCAATAATAAAGACATTAAATTTTTAAAATAAATCATGACATCCTACAAATATGAATGACTACATTAGCTATACAAGTTTCCAATGCAGTTACTTGAAAAACTTATTTTTACTAGGTCCAAGAAATTGAAGTTGTAATGACAGAAAACAAGAAGTTAAAAAAGGCAGCATTTAACATTTATGCATTTTATTTAGACTTATAAATATGTGTACAAATGAAATAATCAGAAATAATTACCTGGATAATTTCATGTAACTCAACTTTCTCCGAAGTGTGTACTATTTAAGACTTAATTGCCCATTTTATATTTAATCAAAATCATATTTTCCCCCATCAGAACCCAAGGCTTCCTTAGAAAATGAAGAGTATGTAAATAAGGTTCACTAGAATTGTAATAACAATATGTCCAACTCTTAGCTATCTTAGATTATTAATCCCCTAGTCACCATTCTTCTTTTTGCTACTTGTTAACACTTCACCCACAAATCCTGGATAGGAGGGAAGTAAAGATGAAATTGAACAAAACTCAATTTAATTTGATTTCCTACTTGTTAGAAATTGAAAGAAAAAAACACTGGAGTAGGGATGGCAGCACTACATAGTGTAGACCAGTCCTCGTACTGTTTCCTTAGCCTCTCTAAGCCCCCATTTCCTTATCTGATAAGTGGTGGTAATACCATTAACCTCATGAAATTGTGAGGATTAAATGAGATAACGTGCCGAAAATATTTTACACAGTGCCTGGTACATAGTAAATACTCAACAAATATCAACTTTAATTATTAGAAACCGAAAGACAGACATGATTTCTAGCTCATATTTTACATACATGGTATATTTATTCTTTTTTGACAAAACCCATTGCCGTTGAGTTGATTCTGACTCACAGCCAACCCTACGGGACAGAGTAGAACTGCCCCATAGAGTTTCCAAGGAGCACCCGGAGGATTTGAACGGCTGACATTTTGGTTAGCAGCCATAGCACTTAACCACTATGCCACCAGGGTTTCTTCTTCTTTGACAAGGAAATTGAAAAATAATTTCAGAATTTGTAAACTATAATTTCCAAACATAATTGTCATAATAACTTTATCCTGCATTACTATACAATAATAGAATTATTAATGGGAAGGTGTGACCTGCTTCATCAAAATTTTTAAAGCATACAATTTTCACAAAGACAAAACTGAGGGAAAATATGCTTGAAGTGATTTCAGGGGCTTAGTGTCTAGCCAGCCTCAAATCAAACAGAATTTGTTAAATTTTGATCCTAGTTGGTGTTTAGTACTGAACTTTATGGTAGCAAAACCATTTAATGGCTTTAAATCATTAAGTAAAAATTATTTGCATGAAGAGTTCTGTACACTCAATAGTTTTAGGGA